TGAACATACCTTATTTTTTGATTAATGTCCAGTTTCAAGTCACATAAAATAAACTAAAAATCCAATAAATTGATGTTTTTATCAGAAAAGTAGTTCTGCACATGTGCGCTGGACTCAACCTCATGTTATTCCAATAATGACAGAGCCAATAACATTACTTACATTCCCAATCAGTCCAGTTAGAATTAGGAGTGGGTGTTGTGCCGATATATGACACTGGTTGCCATGATGAGATAAATCTGCCATTTTACACCAGAATCCAAGCTCATTATTCATATAATGGACTGGATTCACAGGACAACACAATACAATCAATCGGCTATTGATTTCAAGTTTGTGCAAAGTGCAAACATCAGGGGAGAGGACCATCTTATATCCACTCTTGTTAATATGTGGTGTTTACTGAGTGTAGTACCACCTCTGCTCTGTTCACTCAAAGCTTCATATTTGAATTGATAAAAAGTGTTATGTGTGATAACTGAGGAGGCTCACCTTTATAGAACACAGTGGGAAACCCTGCAGGTCTTCCATCTTCTTTGGAGTAGTTTACTGGTGCGGCAGCATTTCTACTACTGACAGGAAGGGACTGGATAGACTGATTAGGAGGGCCAGCTCGGTCCTGAGATAACCCCTTTCTACCATAGACTGTGCTTTCTACCCAGTGGAGGTGATGGGACAGAGGAGGAGATTCTGTCATCTGATGGACAACCAGTCCCACCCCCTTAAGGACACCATCAAAGCACTGGTGTTTTCAGTTTTCTTGATTTTCATGGGGCAGACCAACCCTCGCTCCAGAGAAGGCCCGTTGTTGTTTTTTGTGACCTGAAGGCCATAGTAGTGTCTCCTCCATGCATGACGGGTGGTTTTCAGTTGGTTGCAATATGCAACATCACCACTAGGTGCCACAAAGGACCACATGAACCATTCAAACATATTAACATAATATAACGTTGAAACTGAATACAATACATGCGACTTTTGAATACATGATTATTTTCAAACGTACAATGCATTTATTTCTTTAAAGTACAGTTACTTGTGTTTTAGACATTGTGTATTGCATTTATAGAACATGTAATGCCTTCAGTCCACCAGTTACCTCGAAAGAGTAGCTTTCACGTTCTGCAAATGAATTTTATATGGTTATAGTATGACTTCGACACAACCTGGTTAAAAAGAATAAAGGAAATATTTTAGCTTTAACATTGTCTCAGGGTTAGGGATAGTAAGACCCTCTACAGATCTTCCTGAGTTATAGAATATTCAACACAGATAAACATGTAAATCAATACAAAATGTGTTATATGCAACATTTACTCATTAGGTGGCTGCACTGATGGCAATAGCCTACTAATAGTACTGTCATTGGAAGTAGAGGTTGAAGTAGAACAAGAAAACAGGGAAGGTAATGTGTGTTTAGTGGCTTGTTAATTACATTAAAAGTTTTAAAAATGAAAAGACAAAAATATCTAAAACAAAGTCACAAAGTATATCATAGTTGTGTTGACATCAGTAACAGCAGTTGTGTAAGTATAAGCTTTTCAGAAGTGGTCTGTGTTGTTCTAAATACAATAATAAGATAAGAGAAAACTTTATTGACTTTTTCAGTGAAATGGCTCAAAACAACTGAATTTTTAAAAATATTTTCTTTTTGACATGAAATCCTATAATTTCAATATGACAACAGTTCATGACTTCTGTCCCTTGCCTCTTTTTTTGTCACATAACACATCGTGCCAAATAAAACAGGGTCAGTACAACCTCTATATCCGGGTATTTGCCATGAAAATGACAAACTCAATCTTTTAAACTTAGACTGATCTGTTGAAGAGAAGTCTGTCTCACCAGTCTGATTAATGCATTTAACTATATTTTGACACTCTTCTCTCACAGTCATATCTGGGAAATATTAGAAGTCTGTCTTGGGAAGAGAAAAGCAGGCGTCATTAAAATAATGTGCTTGTTGTGACAAGACTCATCATCATGAAGGTGAAATTTGAGAGTTAAAACATTTAA